CAGGAACTGTTGCAGAACAGGAGAAGACAATGTTCCCTTGCCCTTTGCCTCTTCCCTCACTCCCAAGTTGCTGCAGCCCTCTAGGGAGAGGTGTCAGGAAGAACAGTCCCTCTCCCAGCTCCCCCAGCGTTCCCTCCGTTAAAGCCACCCGCCCTCTTCTGCTGAGACCCCCCTGGGCTTGGGACAGAGCGGAAGACGCAGCGCCACAAAGGCGTGCGGCCGCTCCGCAGCAGCGCTTGAGAGGCTGCTCCTGTCCCACAGCGGCTCACGTGGGAGCGGGGCTACTTGGGGCAGGCAAGCACTCCTCTGCACCGCGCCTCCCGGCAATGCTGTACCTTTAGCAGACGGCGCTCAAACTCGGCAGTGTCCGGGAAGCTCTCATCTTTCCCTGCACAGCAATAGGAAGACAAAGACCCTGACTTGGGATCAAGGCACAGAAGAGCTGCTGCAAACCTGGCTTGGCCTGGGCACTTGACGCAGCCGAGCTGGGACCCGCACCCCCTCCACAGTGACCTGTCCCTCCCCACAAACACTGTCCCCACAGGAACAGGGAACTAAGTGCTCCAAGGCTGCTGTCTGAGGGGATGTGAAGGGCCCATCCCTGTCCTGCAATGGGCAGATCCCCAGGGGCATAGGTCCCTGGGCCTCAGAGCTGACTCGCAGGAATGGAGACAGCGCAGCACTGGGCTGCAGGCAGTGCTTCCCCTCTGCCACTCTGCAGAGCTGCATTTTCACTCACCCCCTTCCCTTCCCTTCCCTGCCTCTGCCTTTTCCTCCCCACCAGTACTTTACCTTCAAGGCACTGCAGCAGCAGGGGGATCTCAGTAGCCCACATGGCCCCCACAGCTCTGTGGAACCTGCTGTGGAGGTTTTTCATCAGCAGTAAGGCAGCCGCTTGGAGTTGGCTGCCTGCAACAGGGCTGCCTGCCACCACCTGAGTGAGAGCAAGGAGAAGGGTCACTTCTGCAGCAAGAGCAACGGCTTCCCCCCAAAAAGGAAGCAGCTTGGCTCTTCTCTGGCAGGCAAGGAGCAGCCAACAGCTTTGCCCATGGCCACGCTGCTTCCTCCTGGCTGCTCGTGGCACCGGGCTCTGGAGCATGTACTCACCAGCAGTCGTGCCAGCAGTATGTGGGGCGTCAGCAGTGGGCCTGCAAAGAGAAAAAAGTGCTGAGTAAGACTCCAAGACACTGCGTGCCCAGCCACGCACATCTCTCCTGTCCCTTCTGGGTGCTACCACAGGTCAGCAGAGCTCCCTGGGGGAGTTTTTGCTCCTACCTTGAAACATGGAGCTGACAAAATGGGGATCCAGGTGTTCTATCGGCCGTCCTGTCAGCTCCTCTTTCTCAGCCAGGGCACAGACACAGCGGGAGACTGGGATCAGCATGCCTGTGTACTGCGCTGGCACCACAAACAACAGCAGCCGTGGCCACAGGAGCTGTAGGGAACGAGGCAGTTGAGCAGGTCAGCATTCCTGCCTCTGCTCAGAGAGGAAGAGGACTCTGTGAATTTCCCCGAGTCCTGTGTGCTTCAGAGCACATTGGAGGAGAGAGCTGGGGTCTTGGAATGGGACGAGGAAGACGCGGTGCAAGGGCAGGGAGCAGCAGCAGGGCAGAGCGTGACTTACTTTGGACATCCCTCTCACAGAGACATCCAGTGATCCCAGGATGTCCATGCACAGCTCCTGGAGAGCTCCTTCTTCCTGGGCTTCCTGGGCAGAAAGGTCTCCGGCTGCCTGCACGACAGTTGTATTGAAACACTGGTTACGCTCAGTTCTCAGGAGGCTCAGGTGTGGCCCCAGCAGTGCTTCTGTGCCACCCTCCGAGCAGCACGGGTCTTCCACCAGAAGATGCTGCCCACTGTCCTTACCCTTCTTGCTGTGGCACGGCTGAACTCCCTGAAGATGTGCCCCACCACATCCCAGGCTGAGCAGCTCCAGGTGTTAGAACTGAGCAGATCCTTGATGAAATAAAGAACAGCCGTCCTCACCTGCAAGGGGTCAATTATGGGTGTGATTTTCCTGGTCAGAAGGCAAAGGGAAGCCAGCTGCTCATCAGGGCAGCCCTTTGGGCATGAGCAGAGAATCAAGAGCAGAGGAGAAGCTTTGGCTTCTGAGGTGAGGGCCAGGCCTTAGCACCAGGCTGTGCGCTTTCCAGGCACAGCACAGGGACCTGCCCGCTCCACTCTGCCTGCTCTCCCCACAGGAGCCATCATGACCGTGTGGCCAATGCCCCAGCAGCTCTCTAGTCACCCCAGCCCTGCCTGTGCTGGCAGCAGCATCACCACCCCAACAGCCCTTTCCTTTCCCAAACCAGCTCACCCGGATGCTGGGGTCGCTGCACAGACGCTGCACAGCCTCGACGACCTGGGGCAGCTTCTCTGTCATCATGGGCTCTGCAAGAGATGCACAGAAGCATGAGCGGAGCCACAACGCAGATGGCAGAAGGGAGCCCTGGCAGTCCCAAGGCGTGGTACTGAGCAACCCGTGGTACTGACCATCAGAGCGAGCCAGAGCACCCAGCAGACCCAGGGCTGCCGCGCATCCACGCTCCCAGTCATCGCCCAGCTGCGACTGCAGAAACAGGATCATTTCCTCTGGGCAGAGCCGGGCTGCAGGGAGGAAATCCCACGCTATGTTAGCAAGAACCTCACACCCATTCCTGAGCTTTGTGAGAGAGGTTTTGGCCAGGCCACAGCCAAGCATGGCCAAGGCTCCTCTCCTTACCCTGCAGCATGATGCAGTGGGTCAGCTGTGCGCGATCAGCCTCGCTGTGCTGCTTGCTGTCGTCATAGAGCTGTGGGAACAAGGTCCATTTGATACAATCACATCAGCACTGAGGACGGGAAAGACACTGTGCTGCCCGCTCTCGTCTCCCTGGGCACTCTCGGGAAGAGGACAGGCAGACAAAACCCAGCCCGCCCCACAGCATCCCCGGGAGTACATGCACAGCTCTGGAGCAGCCTTGAGCATGCAGGAGCTAAGGCTGAGCCGCCTTCTTCAGGGGCTCGGAGCTTTGCAGTCCTCCTGAGACTTAGCCAAGAGGGAAACTGCTGTGGGCCAAGGACAGGCTCCCCTTACCTGGTAGAACACGGCGCTGGTGACGTCCTGAAACTTGTCCCTTGGAATGACTGACGCAGTGCCCCCTAAGGCCTCCAGGAAGACTGTGAGGCTCTGCAAGAAACCAGGAGAGGAAGAAAGGGATGAAGCCACATCTAGCCACTTGCGAGTGCAGAAACTGTTTCCCAATTGTTTCTCTGCAGGGAGAAGCTCCTGCACAGGCGTTCTTGTTTATCCCCCACCACCCAGCAGCACCAAGAGAGTCTCTCTGCTCTCAATCGAGCCGTGTTTGGGCATCATGTGCAGGCATTTCCCACCCAGCAGCCCACTTCTCCCCCATCAGATGCAACTGGCTGTGGCCCCCCCAGTTGTTAGCACACAGCTCCTCAGGCACTCAGAGCCCCACCACCCAGGTGGTGGTGACAAAGTCTCCCATCCCCAGGAGATGAGCCCCTGTGAGTCTTGGCTCCCTCCTGGCTCTTGTCCAGGCCATTCCTTCTTTGACTGAAGAGCTCAGGAAGCCTCAGACCTCCCTTGAACACCCATCCCTTCTTTCTCCAAGGGCTCCCCACCTCCTCCCTGCGTCCCCCTGAGCCCTCGTGGCACTTGCACGGGCCCCACGTCCACCCTGAGCCCTGCACAACGCCTCACCTTGGCCACCCTGCAGGTGTCTTGGATCTCCTGACACGGGTGAACGAGCCAGAGGAGCTGCTCCCAGACGTGCTCTTGGTGCCGCTCCTCTTGCAGGAGAACCTCCAGCATGGCAGCCACAGCCCCAAGGACGGCCTGTTTGTCCTGGAGAGGATGGCAGAGGCTCGGTATCAAAGACTGAAGGCCTGCCCTTCCTACACAGAGGGCCTTCTCTTTCTCTTTCTCTTTCCCTTCCCCTTCCCCACACCCCCACGCCCAGCAGGAGATGGGCTCGCTCTGGAGGGCAGGCAGCTTTTCCCCATACCCTCATCCCCAGCTCTTCCTGCCACAATGCTGTGACATGCAGCTGCTCCCTGGCACAGAGCCACTTCAGGGCCCTTTGCAGAGCCAGCCCACTCCCTCTCATCACCCCTCAGCTCTCAGCCCACTGGGCACAGACAGAGCTGCCGACACGGGTGCCCCTGCTGCCTTCCTGGGCTGGGAATGCAGCAGTGCTCACCTGTTCCTCCTGGCAGTCCTGCCAGTTCCACATGACGGAGAAGAGCAGCTCACGAAGGTTTTCGTAGATCTGCTCTTTCTCCATGGCAGGCCAGGGGCATTGCATTCCTGCGGACAAGTGAATCTTCACGCCATCCAGCCACTGTTTCACAACTGAAAAAACATGACAAAATACTTGTACAGTAATACTAATATTTTTTTGAAAAAGGGAGTGAGGGAAAAGGGAGCCTGTGAGAGTCTGCAGCAGGGTGAGGTGCAAGGGCTGTCCTGAGGCCCCCTGCTGTGGGGCCAGCACTCACCAGCACAAGCGATGCGCAGGATCTGGCCACTCTTCACCTGGCCCACCACACTGCGCAGGCCTGCCAGCATCAGCCACACAAAGGGGATGCACTGTGGAGCTGCAGAGAGGAAGGAGAGGGCCACAGTCAGAGTCCTGGCAGCGAGGGAGGAGGGGCTGCAGCCCTGCATCCCCCAGCTGAATGCAGATCACACGCGGAGGGCAGAGAGCCCTTTCCCGCTTGTTCTAGATGTCAGGAGGTTGAGGGTACTCTACCATAGGTGCTGAAGAGTTTGCTCAGGGTGATGAGCACCAACTCCTTGCACATGTCCCCCGTGGCCTTCAGGTGGCTCTGGAGCTCAGCCATCACCAAGGTGAAGTGCGTCCGAGCCAGAGCCACCAGGACATTGCTGGCAGCTGTGCTCACATTGCTGGTCACGCCCTGGAAGAGAGTCACTGGTGACACGCGGCCCAGGAGACTGCCTGAGGCCCTTGGAAGAGCTAAGCCACCACCATCCGCCAGCAGAACAGCAGCGTGGGCAGGCGGTTCCCTTTGCCTTTGGGAGGGAGCCCTCACCTGGGCTGCCGTCAGGTCCCGGGACACCTCTGCCAGCAGCCGGTTCACCACTCCGCACGGCGGGCGGCTGCTGTCTTGGCACAGGGCGCTCTCCAGCTCACAGTACGCCTGCGCTCGGTCACCCTGGGGACAAGCATCAGTCACGCTCGCTTTGCCCGCTGCCACCCATCGCTCTGTGGATGTGCTGCCGGGCCTGGCAGCCACGGGAGCGTGGCCCTGGGCCAGGAGGGCAAGGGTTGCTGGTTGGATGCCCCCAACTCACCTCCTGATCTTGCAGGCGCTGAAGCAGTAAGGTCGCGGCGCAGGTAGGGGCAGGGCTTGACACCCTGCTTCTCTCCCTGCGACGCGTCCGTCTGGGCACGCAGCCCACACAAGCAAAGAGACCTGGAAGGAAAGAGCAGAGCAGCTGCTGCAGGTGTTGCTTGGAGCCAGGGCCGAGCACCCGGCCAGCTCTGGGGGGAAAACGCTCCTCCAGCCCCACAGCGCAGGGGTATGAGTGGTTGGCGGGGGCAGGGGAGGGAGCTTTCCCCTTGCTGGGGTGCTGGGGAAGCCACGGTGGGCAGCTGCACTGGGCAGAGCGAGGACAGTGCTGCTGGCACGTCCTAAACAGACACTGGAGGCACACGTGTGCTCGGGCAGCGTCGTGGTGTCCAGAGAGGTGGAGGGACTCACCTCGAAGGGCTCTCAGCCTCTCCATGATAGCAGGATGCCTCCAGGTAGACGCAAAGCTCTCTCTGGTTCCACTTCCTGCGGGTCCCACAAGCGGACTGAGCCACCGCTCCCACCGCTCCACAAGGGTGGATGACGCAGCCACTGTGACACCACACTGCAGTGTCACCTCACAGAGAATGAATGATGCGCCCCGGGCTGGGGAGCAGGCAGGTCCCCAGGGCAACCCTGCAGGCCCTCAAACACAGCACGTTTGTGTGACGCAATCGGCTCTGGGGTTCCGGTTCCATGCTGACGCAGGGAATGACCTCAGCAGGTGATGGAGAGCCCCTGCCAGGGAGCAGCTGCTGGGCACCGTTGCCCGGCGTTGTCTTAGTGACTGGGGACTCCATGCCGGGAGGCACTGAGGCCCCCATCTGCTGCCCGACAACCTCTCCACAGAGCTCTGCTGTCCACTAGGGGCACGTGTCAGAGATGTTAAGGAGACTCCACGGCATCTGATCAAACAAGAACACCACCATCTGCTGATTGTCATCCAAGTAGGGTCATGGGAGGCTGCCGTGAGGAAATGGCCGAATATCAGAAAGAGACTTTGCATCCCATGGAAAGACACTAAAGGGCTTGGGAGCAGCAGGAGTGTCCTTTTCTGTCCTTCTGACTGGAGGCTGGGTCGCAGAAGGAAGGAGGAGAATAGAGGTGGTAAATTATTGGCTGATTACTGGGATGGTGTTGGGATCAAGTTTTTGTGTACCTTGATCTTGGCCGGGTGTGTGGGCATGAGATGGAACACAAGTGAGCAGTTGGGGCCAAGGTGTTCTGGAAAGCAAGGTGGCTAGATTGATTAAACCACATTGGATGGAGGAATGGATTAGAGTTCCTTGTGAAATGAGGAAAATGAGTTAGGTTGGAAGTTGTATGCCTTCATGAGGTGCTGAATTGGCAGCTCCAGATCTGAGCTTTCTAAGCCAGGTTTTCGCTGCCGGTAAGAGATGCTTTTATACAGACCTAGAGAGTTAGTGCGGACAGCGAGTCTCCTGTTTCTCCAAATAACACTGTTAGCTATCCCATGTCTGGAATGCAAGGCAGCAGGCTGGGCAGTAAACCACAAATTAGCAAAGAAGCAGAGGATTGGTGGATGAAGTTGATGCTGATAAGAGGACCATTCAGAGCCAGGCAAGCATCCTCCAAGGTCAACCATCCACCCAGGTCAAAGAGTACACAGCCAGGAAGACAACAGCCTTCATCAGAAAGACCACCAGCTGACCAGGGAGCAATGCCTCCCATGCATCAAAGAACTGAGACTCAGGGCGGGGAAAAATGTCAATCATTCTGGGGACTCGCTGCAATAAAACAACCTTTTCTTGGACATCCAACGCATATGTGAGCAGCTTGCTCTTTAAGCATGTGCCTTTCTTGACCTCCCGTACGCAGGCTAGGAGGCAATACCCCCCTGCATCCAGCATAGGTGCGCAGTGCTGAGTGCACATGCCTGCATTATGACTGCTCTGTGGAGATAGACTTTGATTCCGCATGTCACTTGTAACAGAGAAGGGCCTGGGAATGATGTCTTCTAAGTGAACTGTGGAGAGAAACCTCCAGTTGTGCAGTAGGATCTTGTGAGGACTCCTCAGGGAAGACAACATTGCCAAGAGCCTGGCTTAAACCTTCCTGCTTCCCTCTAGAGCTTCCTGCACCCTCTGCTTCCCTACAGTGCCTGTATAGCAATGCACGCTGCGTGGGGAATAAACAGGCAGAACTAGAGATGTGTGCGTGCTTCCAGGGGTGTGATGTCATGGCAATCACACATGAGACATGGTGGGAGCTGAGTCTGTTCATCCTGGGGAGAGGAGGGCTGAGGGGGGATCACACAAATGCTTGTGAATATTCTGGGAGTCCTGGTGGATGAGAAGTTGGATATGAGCAAGCATGATGTGCTTGAAACCCGTAAGCGACTATATGCTGGACTGCATTAAAACAGGGGAGGCCAGCAAGGAAAGAGAGATGGTAGTCCTCCTCTACTCAGCTCTTGCGAGGCCCCATCTGGAGTACTGCATCCAAGGCCTGGGGCCCCCAGCACAAGAAATATGCAGAGCTCTTCTAGCAGGTCCCGAGGAGGGCCGCTAAGATGATCAGAGGACTGGAACACATCTCCTACGAGGAAAGGTTGAGGAGACTGGGCTTGTTTAGCTGGAGAAGAGAAGGCTCTGAAGAGACCTCACTGTGCCCTTCCAGCTCTTGAATGGAGCATATCAACAGGAGAGGGAACAACATTTGACATGGGTGGATATGATAGGATAAAGGGGGGTGGTTTTCAACTAAGACAAAGGAGATTTAGGTTAGATATTAGGAGGAAGTTTTTCACACAAAGGGTGGTGACACACTGGAACAGGCTGCCCAAGGAGGCTGTGGATGCCCCATCCCTGGAGGCATTCAAGGCCAGGCTGGATGTGGCTCTGGGCAGCCTGGTCTGCTGGTTGGCACCCTGCCCAAAGCAGGAGGCCTGAAGCTATGTGATCTTCAAGGTCCTTTTCAACCCAGGCCATGCTATGATTCTATGATCTTGAGGGAGATGGGAGGCATATGGATGAGGCCAGGCTCTTCCTGACGGTGTTCAGCGATAGCACGAGGAGCATTGGCTTAAAACTTACCGTACTAACATGCAGAAGAACTTCTTTATGGTAAGGCCCCGAGACAGGCACAACTGCCACACACCAGTCACATCACTTTCCTGGAGTTTCACAGATGTGAGGGTGAACTGGCTGTGACATCTTTCACCCCATTGATTGCTAAGGCTGATCTGGCTGGCTTGTTAGGTATCTCCTTCTTCCCCACTATTCCATGCACATCCCTCCCAAAGCTGCTTACTTAGTGAAAGATGATGACTTTCCCTGACGGAGACATCCCATTCATTGCTCAAGGGTATATGGTAGCTGTGTTCCCTTGCTAGAATCTCCAAACAAGCTCAGGGTCCATTTGTAGAAGAATATAGGGTAGTCAAGCTTCTAGGACTGCAGGTGCATCCAACTGAGGTACTGTATGGGGCAGTCTGCCATCGTTCATTAAAAAATCATGTTGGGTATTAGAAAAAATTTTTCTGTGAAAGAGTATTCTAGTGGTGGAATGGGCTGTCCAGCGAGGTGGTTGAGTTACCATCTCTGAGGATGTTCAAGAATCATTTAGATATTGTACTTTGGACCATAGTTTAGTGGGAAACACTGGTGGTAGGTGGGTGGTTGGACTGCATGATCTGGGAGGTCTTTCCCAATCTTGGTGATTTTACAACTCAAGAACCTGAATCACTCATCCACTCATCTTTACTGATGCTAGTGCCCATCAGCTTGAAAAATGGAGACTCCCATGATAAACGAGGCTGTAAGATTGCCACTTTAGGCACTGGGAAGATGTGTCCTGTTTCACCCGCAGATCTACAGAGGAGACCAGGAGCACATCTTGACAGCTCAGGTTGCAATAGCCATGAGTGTAGGAGCTGTGTGGCCTCCTGACAAGAGGAGAGTTCTTGAGGCAGAACAGATACAGTCAGTAGGTCAGCATCTGTTGGTGCAGCAATGCAACTGCAATTCAGCTTTCATTCAAACCTCTAAGTTGGGACATACAAATATCATAACACAGGCCAGTAAGCTGGGTACATTTTATACTTCACTAATGCCTGTGTGGTCAAAAGGATTTTTATTTGTACTACATCTTGGGAGGCCCCAGGGCTGAAAGTAAAACTAGGCTTTGTTTGGGTGAAAAGAAGAAAGCTTGCCACGGTTGAAATGGAGAACAGAGACCTAAAACATCCCATCTTGCTGCCCTGGGTATTCACCATTGGGGCTTCTGTTTGCTTCAGTGGATCAGCAGCAGTCAGTACCTTCCACTGCAGAGGAGGGCAGTAATGGGCTTGGCGCAGAGCTGACTTCAGCATTTAGGGATGGTCAGAATGAGGACTGCCTGATGGAGAACGCCAAAGCACAGGGCTGCATTCCATAAAGCCTTCCAGGGACCGTCTGCCAGCCAGCTGAAGGCATCTTGCAATCTAGTACACCTTTCTATTCACAACTTATGCTCCTGTGTAAGATCAATCATCCTCCTTGTGCTTGTATCTAAATAGCAAGCTTTTTGTTCCAAGTTTCTAACAACCACGAACATCTGCCCACTTTGTAACAGACCTCGGTTTTTGTTTGGCTCTTAACCGAGATTCCTGTGCAGTCAGGCTCCCCTCTCCATCATCTTCCACCAGCCATCTCCTGAAGGCAAATTGCTCGTGTTGTTATCTGGGCTTCACGGACACAGGGACAATGCCAACAGCCCTGCTGTGCTCTGGCCACATCCAGATCTTCAGGTGCACAACACACAGGTACAAGTCACTATCCCACCACAGCCACGGCATACACACCCACAGGGTAGGGCTGTACTTAGGGAAGCCCTCCCTGGCTACTCTGTACGTATGGCACTCAGGCAGCGCACGGCACCAGCTTTGACACCACGGAGTTGACAGTATGTGCATACAGTTACAGATGGCACACACAACCGGCTTTGCTGAACACACACTCCTTAGCTAAAGCATTTCTGTTCAGGACATCCCCAAAATAGGGGTACACACTTGAATAAGAAGCAGCTGCCTGCACACACTGCTGTCAGGTGAGACCAAGAGCACTTCAGCCTTTCCATGCTAAGCAGCCACGTGCACCCTGTGGACAGCCCATAGATGGGTGCAATGCAGCATTAACGGGGCACCCATCAGCTACTGCAGCGCAGCATCTTCGCAATACCCACGCAAGGTTCTCTCTCAAGCTCGCAGTTCGGTGCCAAAAGCTGTACAATATATTCCAAGTGAAATAGGATCTTTTAATATCACATATCCAAACAATAGTTCTCATTTCAAAATGCAAAATAGGTCTTTTGAGCGTCAGCCGCTCCCAGCCTGGCCGAGCAGGGTGCAGTACAGCTGAGCGGCACAGCTGAGGAGGTCAGACCTCATTTCTTTGGTAAAATACATGCCATGAACAAACGCGAATGCAGGCTTGTACCAAAAAAAAAAAAGCGTCCATTTATAAGACTACTCGTTACTCCACGTCCCCTTAGCATAGATTTGCACTTTAAAACAGTCATATACATTAAATAGCTCTCCAACTTCTACACCGCGAACATCGGAAGTAGCACATCTTCTGCCACCCCAGCGTCTCCTCAACGAGCGACACGGGTGGGAGCGCAGGGAATCATTAAAAACAGGCTGTCTGTCTCACACAGTTTATTTAACAATAGGTAATAAGAAATCAATTTTTAACAGTCTATACAGTGATCGAAAGTTCGTATTTATAAGTAATCAACTTTAATTGCATGATTTACAACATTTGAGGGTTGTTTTTTTTTTTCTGTTTTTGTTTTTTTT